ACTCAAGTTAGAGAAACAAGCAAGAGACTTTAGACTTTTCCAAGTATACAATGGGAAAATACGTCAGCTTCTTTGAACTAGGGAACATCACCACCAGACTTTCCTTTTGCAAATAGTTCCAGCAGCAGTATAGAAGTCAGACTGAAGAAAGCTCACGTATGAGAAGAGAAAGCTCACACAAGAGACACAGACCTCCAGGGACCCAAACAGATCTTCCATACATACTCAGATCATGAGCTTTCACTTACCTTCCCACACAGCCCCAAATAAGATGCAACTGATCCTCATCTAGACACCCGGAGATTCCTGGGTGGGCAAATAGCACCGCCATCTGGTTCACATAAACAGAAATCTCAAAGCGGTATAGGAACTCAACCACTCCTGCTCTCTCAGGACAGACAGATAAACAAGAGTCTCACTGGTTTGGTCTGCAAACCTTTCATCATTTCCTTAACACATTGTCTCAGTCCAGGAGGTCACCTCTGGCCAGGACTGCTATGGCTACCTAATTCATCTCTTTCTCTTCTTAATTTACACAGCCACTGGTAGTACTTGTAATGTAAATGTGATGCTACTCCATTCCCTCTGCATCTTTGGTGCCCCTCTTCTCAACACAACACTTAAAATTACCTCCTGACTTAGGATAAAAATGAAACTACTAGCCTGCCCTATAAACCAGAGCTAAGATTCATCTTGGTTATTTCCATGACTGTCACACTGACCTCTTTCAGCCTGGCAAATGTCTCATATTCCCTCCTATCACAAGACCATTCCACATACATTTTCTTTTCTTTTTCCTCTAGGGAACTTTTTTATTCTTGGAATCTTATTTCAACTATGATAGCCTTCTCTGACCAGATCAAAGTTCCCTACTTCAGGATTTTTATGGCACTAACAGATATTTTCATAGCTGTGTTTCCTTCATCTCCATATCGGATGAGTATCTATCTCTCCTGACAGAAGTGCCCCATGAACACAGGGCAGCGTTCCCCTCACAACTGTAGTTTCAACTTACATTCATCACACCTGACAGATAACAGATGTTCAAATCTAATGCAATTATATTAGATAATCTGATTCAGGGCTGAACAAATTCTTAAAATAAATTTTAAAGTTAAGCTGTATTATAGGGGATAAGTCAAGGATTATCTGAGAAACAGCTTAATTACATGTGTGAAGTGTTTCTGGTATGAATAATTATAATGCCTCTAAAATGTAAAAATTAAAAATACAGCAAGAGTAGGCTTGAGTAGTTTTTTAAAAAGCTAAGGATGTCCTGATTTTGAAATGTCTAAAGAACAAATCCAAATAGTCAAGTTGTTAAGAGTGTATGTTCTTAACTCTTAAGTTCCAAATTAAACTATACATTTAGTTGTGTGCCGGTACGTACAGAGAGCAAGGAACAGAAAGAAAACTTTGGGTGCTTAACAAGAATTCAGAGCCAGATAAAGATGAAACCCAACCAGTCTAGAAACATTCGCCACAAACAAGACCAAAATAGGGAGCAAAGAAGAAAACTACAAGACAATGGTGCCACACCGTTTTTAAATGCCTGAACTTCTAAAGAGAACTGTCCTGTTGGTAATGTTAACTGTCAGAGGGGTCAAGTAAGAGAACAACTGGGAATGATTAATGTAGGTGTCGATAAGCAATGAATCAGAAAGATGAGTAACGGGTGGAGGAGTGCACAGAAGGGGAGAACCACAGGCAGTGAATGAACAAGGATTGTTTCCCAAGAAGTCTGCCTACAAAAGAAATGAAGGACCAGGAGGGGCATGGACCAGAAGCTGACAGTAATGGAAATATCTGTTTATTTTTAAAATGCAAGACTTCAGCGAATTTGTATGTTAAAAGGAGGCATCCTGAGTTTACCTTAACCACCCAAAACAAAGGAGTACTGTGAGGACAGTACAAGGTAGACGAATAGACGTTCAGAGGAGGCAGCACGCCAAGCAAAGGCCTGTACGCCATGGTTAAAAAAAAAAAGCAGATCAGACTTTCATTCTGTCGACAATATATCTGGCCCTCTTAGAATTGGAGTAGCAAGATGGCATTTCTGTTTTAAGGAAGTGGGGCAAGGACATCACAGAGATCTGGAAAAGTCAGTGTGAAACCGGAGGCACTCCTCTAAGGAACCACCTGAAAAATGTGCTGGGCGCCCAGCAGAGCAGAAGGGTCTGTACCCTCAGGTGAGCCTCTTCTCAGCAGGGTGTTGCAGACCCCGCACCTACCTAGCTAGTTCACACCGCCACTGCCATCCCTGGCTGAATCTGAGTGCTGTCAGGGGCAACCCTGAGTACAATGTTTCTGTTTTTGTTTGTTTTGATCTTTTTTGAGACAGGGTCTCCTGATGCAGTTCAGGCTGGCCCTCAATTCGCTTTGTGGCTCAGGCTGGTCTGGAATAGTAATGGTCCTCCCGGGAGAGCCGGGATCACAGGTGTGCCCCACCACCGCAGCCCACCGCCGCCGCTACCACCACCCCAGGCTCACACTGCTTCAAATAATCTTCTTCCTATCCCTGATCATTAAGGAAAAGAATATATTTTCTTTTTTTTTTTTTTTAAAGAATATATTTTCTAAACTTTCTTTAAACTTTTCTCCAAACCTGCTGAAGAAGAAAGCAAAATGCTGCGCAACACAAATGTTGTAATGTTTTAAAACAAAAAACTACTTCATATAAAATGCCAAATTTCAACTAAGATAATCAAATCCTAAGTCAAATAACTGCCAGGATTTAAACAGATTTTAAAGAAAGAGGAGTTACCACTTTTTCTTTACTAACAAGCAAAAGACTGAATTCAGTGTATCATCATTAAAGCTTTTTTGTATACTGACTACAGGCAATGATACATTTTTAAATGAAAGACTGGAGCATGCAGGAAATGCACCAAACTCCTAAACTATACAAAGTACTGAGATTCATCTCAGATAATTTTATATATAAAAAAGGAAAACCACCCAATCTCAAAATGAGCATACAAGTTGCTTCTAAACAATCATCTTAGTCAAACATAGAATTAAACTGAAAAAGACAGGACAACAAATTTTCAAAGTTATCTCGTAACAGACTTTCACATAAACCCAGTTATGGATGGGTGACTGAAGGCAAGCCTGTTAAATGATTTTAAATACCATCATCAAACTAAGCACAAGTAGATGGTGGATTTTAAACATTTCCCTTCCCAATGGTGAGATCGAAACATAAATTTCCACCAAGCAAACTATTTACATTCCACTAACAGCTGAACACTGTGGAAGGAATTAATCACTGAAGGTCAGCTTCTATTTCCGCCCACTCCCTTCACTCCCCTAGAGCTCCAGCCCACCTTTACACACAAGTACACAACTATGGAAACACACACACCAAGCAATCTTACTTAGGACCTGCTCAAGCACTCCCTCTGCCCAGCTCTCCTCAGAACTGAAGAGCAGCCTCTTCTTGAAGGCTTCCTAAAGTAAAGGAAAGGCTGGGTCTCACAGGCCTGGCCTGTAAGGCCCCAAATAAGTGAAACATATGCACAAGTCGCTGTACAGGGTTCTTGGTTGTTCTAAGTTATTGTTCAGAGTTTTGGCTTTTAAAATTCGTCCACTATTACTAATTTCTTACTAGGCTGTCATCACTACTTCTCTCTAGGGAGAAAACTTCAAACTCTGTGGACATTTTCCTGGTCTAAACCAGTGTTAGCATCTGCCAATCTTGGCACTCATGAGAGACAAAAGCAAGAGGACCACAAGAGTGAGCCCAGGGTTACAATCTCACAGCTGATGGAGCTCAGCGTGAGGGCCCGAAGGCTGCATCCCCAGGATGGGGGAGGCAGAGAAACCCACATTACCGGCTAAGGTTTCTAACTCCCAATGATAGGCAATTCACACATAGTTTATGCATTAGAAAAAAAAAAAATCTGCTCTGCCAACTCATCCTGTCAAAAAATAAAGTTAACTACTTCTGAGAAAACAGGCAGAAGGTTAAAGGTTTTATGTTACCCAGGAGGCTAAGGCAGAAGGATGGCTGCTAGTTCAAGGCCAATGTGGGGACTACAAAGTGATTCCAAGGCCAGCCTGAACTGCATAGCGAAATCCTGTCTCCAAGAGACAAAAAAAAAAAAAAAAAAAAAAAAAATTCATGACTAGTCAAAGTTTGCCCCTCCCCCAGCTAAAACTGTAAAATCATGCAACACACAAATTTGCAGCCACAAAATGCACTCAGGGCAGCTCAAAATATTTCTTGGAGTTGCCTTTTTTAAAGCCTTGTCTTTCACAAGCAGTTCACTTAGGTGTCCATGTAGCAGAACTTATAAATATACTATAATGCCTGCTGCCCAAAGCCTGAACATAATGCTTTTTTTTTTCGAAATTACTCAAACTATCTAAATTTCTCCTATGGAAAACAATCTAGTTTTACTTCTGGGCCCAACTTTACACAAAATAATGGACATTTTTTTTCCTTTTAAAGCCGAGATTATCCTGAGCCTCACAAAAACTGCTGTCATCATAGCCCTCAAATTAAAAGACCGCATGCTGACTTCCACGAAAGGACTCACTTTACACTTAACTAATGATACAAACTTGTGTTCTGTTTTGCTCTGCATGCTATCGATAGTGCTTTTAAAAAAAAATAGGGCGGCGCTCAGTTGAACTCTTTGACGTGCCCCGAAGGTCGGGAAGCCGGCGAGCCTGCACGCCACCGGGATCGCACGTCAAGGGTGGCCGATCGCAGGCAGACTCGAGCGCGCCGCGGGCTAGGGTCCGGGCGCCGGGACCCTGGACGCCGCCCAGCGGCCGCGGGGTGCGGGACGCCGCCCCGACGCAGCGCGGAGGAGCAG